CGGAATTTTGTGATGATGACCATTTTCACCACACTGGTTCTTCCTACCCAAAAGCAAGGAATATTGTTTCATTTTCTAATATCTTATTTAATCTCCTTTCTCAGAGTACTGCAGTTTTCAACGTAGAGGTCTTTTACTTTCTTTGTTAGATTGACTCCTAAGTATTTCTTTTTTATTGATGCTATTGTAAAGGTTGTTGTTTCCCTAATCTCCTTCTGAGTTACGATTTTTGAATGTTGACTTTGTATCCAGCTACTCTACTAAATCTGGTTATTAAATCTAAAAGTCTTAGCTAGGTGTGGTGGCGCACACCTGTAATCCTAGGACTAGGGAGGCTGAAGCTGGAGGATCATTGCAAGTTCAAGACCAGCCTGAGCTACAAAGTGAGCTCAAGGCCAGCCTAAACTGCATAGCAAGACCCTGTCTCAAAAAAAAAAAAAAAAAAAAAAAAAAGGGGTTGGGGACTTAGCTCAGTGGCACAGTGCCTGCCAGGCAAGCACAAGGTCATGAGTTCGATTCCTGGTACCGGAAAAAAAAAAAACCAAAAAAGGAGAAAAATTCAAAAAAAAAAATCTATAGGTGGAATTTTTGGGGTCTTTGTAGCGTATTATGTCATCTTCAAATAATGGTAGTTTAACTTATCATTATTCCTTTTATTTCTTTCTCGTATCTAATTGCTCTGGCCAATGTTCCCAGAACCATACTGAAAAAGACTGGTGATAATGGACACCTTTTTCTTTCTCCTGATTTTATAGAATGAAAGCTTTCAGGTTTTGGCCATTTAGTATGATACTGGCTATCTGTCACAGATAGCTTTTATCAGACTGAGATAAAGACAATCTATTACAATTTTCTATAGGGTTTTTATCACGAATGGGTGCTGGACTTTGTCAAAAGCTTTTTCTACATCTATTGAGATGACCATGTGACTTTTGTCCTTTGCTGTTGATATGTACTACACTTATTGATTTGTATGTTGAACCATCCTTGCATCCCTGGAATGAATGCTACTTGGTCATGGTGTATAATCTTCTTGATTTGCTGCATTCTGTTTGGAAGTATCTTGTTGAACATTTTTGCATCTATGTTCATTATGGACATTGGCTTGTAGTTCCCTTTCTTTGTTGGCTCATTGTCTGGTTTCGATATCAGGGCAATACTTGCTTCTAGGAATGTGTTTGGGAGTATTGCTTTCTTTTCCATTTCACTGAAGAGTCTAAAGAGTAATGGCATTAGATCTTCTCTAAATTTCTTGTAGAACTCTGCTGTGTTTCCATCAGGACCTCAGCTTTTTTTTGTTGGTAGGTTTTTTACTTACATCTTTTATTTCACTGACTGATACTGGGTTATTTTGAAGTTTTATATCTTCTTGATTCAGCTTTACTAGTTTCATATGTGTCTAGGAATCTGTCCTTTTCATCTGTTTTGCATTTCATTAGAATAAAAATTCTCAAAATAGGTACTGATAATCTTCTAGATTTCTCCGTTGTGATTTCACCCTTTTTGTTCCTAACTGCATGAATTTTAGTCTTTTCTTTCCTTTTTTTGATAAGGTTGGCTAAAGGTTTATCAATTTTATTTAATCTTTCAAAGAATCAACTCTTTTGATTCACTGATTCTCTGTATTGTTTTCTTAATCTCCTTTGCTTTAGTTTCTCCTCTGATCTTAATCATTTCTTACTTCATGAGCTTTGCGCTTGACTTGTTCTTTTTCTAGGGGTCTGAGATTCAACATTAGGTTGTTTGAGCTCATTCTATCTTCCTGATATGGTATTCGCTGCTATAAATTTCCCTTTTGGGACTGCTTTTATTGGGTCCCGTAAGTTCTGGTATGTTGTATTGCCATTACATTTGTAGATACTGCTTCCTTTCTTAATTTCATCTGTGTGGTAGATTGAAAACTGGTGGTCAACTTATAACCCCAGCTGAACTGAGTAAACATGGTGCTGGGTGTGGGAGGCCCACCTGGGGACTCTTGTCAGGAGTGTAAGAGGCAGAACTGGAGAAGAAGAGGAGAAGCTGTTGGAAGCTGTTGGGTGCTGTCAGGGAGCTGCTGGTTCTCTTGAGCTTTTCTGCTGCAGGAATTTGTCATACTGACCGTCCTGATGAACTTGGCTATTTTCATCCTCCAAGGAGCTCAGGACCTTGTTGGCACTGAGAATAGCTTTGGATCACTTTGGTCCTCACTCTGAGCATGGCTTCCTGGCTCTGGAGGGGAAGATGGTGCACTGCCGGTCTCCTGAGAAGTTTGCTGCATTGGCTTCCCTGATGGGAACTCGGTCATCTTGATCATCGGAGGAGCTCGGGACCTCACTGTTGCTGAGGATGGCTGTGGTACCTTTTGGGGTAGCTCTGGTTCTTCTGAGCATCGCTTCCTGGCTCCAGTGCAGATCCCTCAGCCTGCTAGCACAGATCCTTCATCCTGCTGGCACAGACTTCCTAGATTCCACCACTGACCCTTGGGCCTTCACAGAGCAGATCCATGAAACAGGCCTGCGTGAGATGTTGTTGTGGGCTCAGGGCCTCCAGGTGGACTCGTGGGAGGCACTGTTATGAGTTCTAGGTCTTCAGCTGGACTCATGCAGGACATTTCTGTGAGATCAAGGCCCTCAGCTGGATTCTTGGTCTTAGTGTGTGGGCAGATTTCCTGCACTCTCTTGTTTATCATTCTTTGGGTGGCTACTATAAATAATCTTATAAAATGTATGTCCTGTATTACATATTGTTCTCCCTTGCAAAATATCCCCCAAACCAACACAATCTGTGACCCATTTGTTGTTTAGGAGGGTGTTATTTAATTTCCACGTATTTATGTAGTCTCTGTAGTTTCTTTTGCCACTGATTTCCAATTTCATTTACTTTGCATTTCAATTACTTTGCATAATTTCAATACTAATTAATTAATCATTTCAATTACTTTGCATTTACTTAGGCATTTTCTATGGGCTAGTATGTGGTCTATTTTGGAGAATGTCCCATGTGTAGCTGAAAAGAATGTATACTCCAATGCTGTGGGGTGGAACACTCTGTAGACATCTATTAAGTCATTTGTTCACAGGTTTGGTTCAGTTCCGACATTTGATTTTTTTTTGTCTAGTTGATCTCTTTGTGACAATGGGGTGCTAAGGTCCCACATTACAATTGTGTTAGTGTTTATTGGATTTTTTATGACCTTCTATTTTGTTACTGCTATCTTTCATAAAAAAATAAATAAAGGTTTTTATCCTAAAGTCTTGATTATTTTCCTAAATAAAAGCCTCATATTTTCTGTATATTATCTAAGAAAGTTTTCTCTACCCCAAAGTCACAAATGTTTTTCCTCTATTTTCTCCTTGAACGTTCATAATTTGGGCTTTTGCACTTAGGTCTATGTTCCAATTAGAGTTAATTCTAGAATGTATTATAAGAAAAGGCTCAACATTTGTAGGTTTTCCGTATAGGTAATTCTTTGTTCCATCAACACTTGTTCAAAAGAAATTTCTCCATTCAAGTGTGTAACAGTTTTGTCAAAAATTTAATGACTACAAATGTGCACAGATGTTATTTCTGTTCCTCAGATCTTATAACCTACTATAACCTATCTTTTCACCAATACCACCAAGTCTTACTTTAGGAGTTTGACAATACATCATGAAATCCAGGTGTGTAACAGTCCCGTCCCAACTGTTCTTCCCTAAAACAGCTTTCACAATTAGTTTTAATCAAAAAAGTCTGCTGGGACTCAACCGCCTGGAACTGAATTATACCAATATATCTGGGGAAAACTGACATTTTAATAGTAACTTATAAACAAATCTATAAACATTGTGTAGTTGTCTATATTTTTAGAGTTTTAATTTGTGTGTACTACTGTGTATCAATCCTAGAGCCTTTGTACCTAGATATATCTTCGGTCCTTTCTTAATTTATTTTGAAACAGGGCCTTACTAAATTGCCTTGAATTTCCAACTCTTCCTGCCTCAGCCTCCCAGAGTGCTAGGACTGTAAGTATGTGCCACCACATCGAGCTACATCTTTTAATTTCTTAGTTTTCAGTATGGAGATTTTGTACAGCCTCTATAATTTGTTTTTTTTTTTTTTTAGTCTGCTAACTTTATTTTTCAAACTTTTCAAACCACTGATTTTTTAATGTAACCTTGTATCTGAAAATCTTGCTCAATTCAGTTATCAGTCTTAATAGTTGCTTTATATATTCACACAGCTATATGGATACATGGATTAAAAACAGTATCATCTGTAAATAGAAGAGTTTATTTCTTCCTTTCTGGTCTTTATGTCTTTTATTTATTTTTATACTTTTCCATCAATAATGTCCTTTGCTGCCATCTGAGTTTTCAAAGTCATTCCAAAGTGATATTTATGCCAGAAAATCCTAATAAGTATAATCAATTTTCTTGAAATAGATTATTGGTCAATATTACTGAGAACACTCCATTAGATAAAGACTATTTACCCACAAACAAAAAGAATAACTTTAGTCCAGAAGAGCCATACAATTTTAAAACTAAGTAAACTGGTCGTGGGTACATGACCTCAAAGTATATAATGTTGACATCAATAGCACTGAAACTAGAATTAGGAGAAATTAATACACATGGGTCCTCTTGACCTTTCATTATTTCTTTTAACAGTAAGTTACCATTTACTGAGCAGTGAATGTGTACAAGATTCCTTTAATCCTCACCACACTCCTTGTTAAGTCAACTAATGACGAAATTAAGTGGATAGACTGAACTGCATGAACGAAGGGCACCCACATAAGTGCCACAACCAAGAGAAGCACTAACAGAGTGACCCCAAAAGCATGAATTTTAATTAAGTACAGTGTTCTCCACACCGCTTTCCACTGTTCCCCAGCCACACTAATCTAAAGGACCAGCAGTAGTAGTGCATTCTTCTTCCAACAACTTTCCCATATTTGACTTACTCCGAAAAATCAGTAATAATGGTAACAATGTCTTATTAAGTAAACAGCGTCAAAAGTAATAAAATATACTTACTGGTTTCGGCATTTTCCTTCTTTTTCTGTTACAGTCTTTTAAAAAAATCTTCACGGATATAAATCCTGTTATCTTCTGTTAAAAAAAAGAAATACAATTTGTCCATTATCTTTCATATAAGGTTTTTTTATTTCTAACTTAATAGAATAAGATAAAGTATTTTAAAAATGTGGGTTGAAAGTAACAGAATTCTCTTATTCAAATTTTCAATGTCTTCACACCACACATATCAAATCACACAGTATAAAGCACGCCCATCAACTAAAAGTTTTACTTTAGACTAAAGAAATACATGATTGCTAAGGATTGAAATGCTGCCTCTGTCAGTCTCTACTGTCAAAGGCGACAGGAACGCTGGGTATGATGGTGTACACTTGTAATCCCAGCACTTGGGACAGAAAGAATGTCACAAGTTCAAGGCCAGCCTGGGTCCTATAGTGAGTTAAAGGCCATCCTGAACTACACAGCAAAACCCTGTCTCAAAAAAAAGACAGTAGAAAAATAGGAAATTTTAACGTAATCTATGAGAAACAATTACATAAAAACTATTTTCCTTGACTACAGGAAAAATATCAGAGTTTCTTATTCAGCTAAAGTGTATAAAATGGCCATAGCACTGCACACTAAAAACCAGAGCAAGCTAGTGACCATCAGTGAAATTTAGAATTGTCCTCAAGACCAATGTTAATTTTTTTTTTCTTTTTATTTTGACATTTTGAGACAGGGTCTTGCCATGCAGTTCAGGCTGGCCTTGAACTCACTTTGTAGCCCAGGCTGGTCTCGAACTCACAGTGATCCTCCTGCCTCAGCTTCCCAAGTGCTGGGATTACAAGCGTGCACCATCACACCCAGCAAGACTAATGTTAAACTGTATTTTCACCTAGGACAACAAATCTTAAACAAGGAGAATCAACATGTTGTCTAAGATAAATGTTCTTACTAAGAAACATTTAAAAGAACAGAGTTTCTCTTTACAAATCTACTAAAAGATCTAAAATACTAATCAGTTGTCTAGAAAAAAAAATTATGATTCCAAATTTGAAAAGCTATAGTGAAAAGTGCTACATTAAATTTGGGAAAATAAATTAAATTTGAGAAGAAACTTATCTGGGTAATATCTCTGCCATAAAACTTTAATTTTTAAAAAGCAAACTCCCTAGTTTGTCAGTCACAATATTAAAAAGTTTTATTTGAATATTAAAATGTATCTTTATAACATTAGTATACTTCAATATTAAAAACATGATTTATAAAATATTAAGAAATATTACTACTGAGGGTGGGATACAGCTCAGCAGCACAAACACCTTCCTGGCAAGCACAAGGTACTGAGTTCGATTCCCGGTATTCCCCTGCCCAAAAAAATAAAGTATGACATTTCACATGTCTTTTGGGGGAAGCCAAGCTAGGGATCAAACCCACGGTAGGTAAGTGCTCCTCTACTGTGCACCATCCCAGCCCTTTCATGTTTATTTTTAGATGGGTCTCAGTAAGCTGCTCAGAGGCTCAAACTTGGATCTTTCTGCCTCACCCTCCCAAGCAGCTGGAATTACAGGCTTGCACTGATTCCTAGCTTTCACTCATATTTCACAGAAAAATTTTATTCAAACTCCTCACACATTACCTACAATAGGAGTATAACAAAACTGTGGCCATTTTTTGAATCGTAATCTTCCAGATTATATTAGTATTTTTGAGTCGGTGTATTTATACAAATTTTTATTCCAAGGCACAAATTTACATTTGTAAATAATTTAAAGTACAAATGGGATTCCTATCCCATTTGTACTTTAAGAAGTAATTTTCAACGTCCATACTGGTTTGTTGTTTTTTTTTTTGAGAGCTTGTTTGGAAGATCCAGCAGGGGAGCACAGCTCTTCCTATGCCCCTGTCCGAGAAAAGGTACTCCTCTGCTGGGGTGGTGGTCCTCTTCCACCGTGAGAGCAGCTTCAGGAGGGACGCACAGGGAGTGGTGAGGGAGGAAGGGAACATCCGCTTAGCCAGCCAGATCAGTCAAATGAACCCTGGCGGCAGGTGCTGCAGCCACACCACCTTCCCATCCTGGATTGATTTGTTTTTTACCAAATCTGATGTACCTTTCTTTGCCTCTTCCTTCTGTTTAGATCACTTACCAGAGGAGCCCAGTGAGCTTTCCAAACTCACAGGAACTAAAGCACTTTCAAGACCATTATCTTAAGCAGTACTTTCTCGGGTTCAAGATGAAGAATAGCAGTTTTTGCCCTTTACTGCCTTAGCAGTTGGATGACATTATTTTATTATATCTTTTGCTGCTAAATCTGCTGTCATTCTACCTCATTCCTTTTCATTAATCTGCTTTTCTTTCTGGTTTCCTTTAATAACTTTTATTTTTCTTTCATGTTCTTCAGCATCCCTTACATTTTCCTCGTTCAAGATTTGGTGAGCCAAGCATGGTAGCACATGCCCATAATCCCAGTACTCAGGAGGCTGAGGCAGGAGGATTCCCATTTGAAACCAGCACTGGTTACACAGTGAGTTTAAGGCCAGCCTGAACTACATAGCAAGAGACCTTGTCTCAAAAAAACAAAAAAACAACAACAAACAAAGATTTGTTAAGCCCTCACCCTTTTTGTCTTTTTGAGATAGGGATTCACTATGCAGTTCAGGCTGGCCTTGAGCTCGCTTTGTAGCCCAGACTGGCCTGCAACTTGCAACAATCCTCCTGCCTCAGCCTCCCAAGTGCTGGGATTACAGGTGTGTGCCACCACACCTGGCCTGTTAAGCTTCCTTTTATTCTGAGGACTACAACTTTTTTAGTTCCAGAAAACTATTAGCGACTGCCTCTTTTCTGTATTTTCTTTTCACTCAGCAATCATTATACACACATTAGATATTTTACTATTTGCTTACTATTTCATGTTCTCCATCTCTTTAGGTTTCCAAGACAAACTGCTCTAATCACTAATTCTTTAAAGTTTTCAATCTGTTTTCACTGTCCTTTAAATTTCCATGGTCATTTTTACTTCCAGAAACTTGGTGTTGGCTTTTAAAAAAATCAAAACTGAATAAACAAAATATTCCATATTGAAGTTTTACCCTTCATAAGAGAGCTCTGTTAAAAGAATACACCACAGGCCAACATACACAAAACCAAAGCCTTTCAAAAGTTAAACTTTCAAAATCTCCTACAAGCCTAATTGATCCAAATATGGAGATGATTAACGTGTAGATGAAGTTTCTAAAAATGTGTATTTTCATATTAGTGTTCTCTCTTAAAGATCAATCCAGGCATGGAGGCATATCCCTATAATCCCAACACTCGAAAAGCTGAGGCAGGAGGACTGCCGTGAGTTCGACACCAGCCTGGTCTACACAGTGATCTCATGCCCGCCCTGAACCAGAGAGACCCTGTCTCAAAAAAAAAAAAATCAACTTAATTGTCTATTTCCGTTAACTCTAAATTATCTCAAAGGAATAATGATGCTGTATTTACCCATTGAGCATTCAGAGATTACTCGATGACAATGCCTTGTATTTATCAAATATTTTGTAATTTTATGTTCTTATAACTTATCAAAACCAAGAAAGTAAATTAAGACAGGTCACATGATAGCTACTTTGTAGCTGAGAAAACAAGCCCCATTCTTAAAGTAGTTTGTCCTAAATCTCATGGATAATTAATGGACCAACACTGGCCTACTAAATAGCACCGTCTTCCAGCTTCTTATATTAAAAAAGTGATATCAAATCACTTAAATTGTACAAATATAATCAAATAGCCAGGCACAGTGGCACACATCGTAATCCCAGCACTCAGGAAGCTGAGGCAGGAGAATTGTTGTGAGTTTGAGACCAGCCTAGGCTACAAAGTGCGCTCAAGGCCAGCCTGAACTGCATAGCAAGACCCTGTCTCAAAAAGAAAAAAAAAAAAAAAACCCAAATGAAAATAACAGAAAAATATGCAATAGTCATGATCAGTTTCTATGCAAAACACTCAACTCTTTAGAAAACAATCCTACTTTAAAAATGAGCCAGGCTTGGTGGCATACACCTATAACCTCAGCACTTACAAAGCTGAGATAGGAGGACTGACCTGAATTCAAGGCCAGCCTGGGCTACATAGTAAGTCCAAAGCTAACCCGCACTACACAGCAAGAATATCTCAAAAATAAATACATAAATACATAGATGCACACACACACACACACACACACACAAATGAACAATTGCTCTACTAAGTCTACAGGTCAAAATAGATTTCAGGTATTCTTGATTATGTACTCAGTTAACTAGGGAACTCAGTTACACATGCCAATATTGAGGGGATGATGTTGGTAAGCAGGTAAATATCTGACTGTACCAAAACCTGGCTCTGTATTTCTAGAAAGTAAGTTGCCAATAAATCACAAAACGTACAGGGCTTTTTTAAACAGTAAATTCTGCTTCTGGAATAAACCCCAAAGGAAATAAATCTGAAGGAAAGTAATCTCTACCAAAATATTCTCAACAGCACTCTTTCAATAGCCAATGATTAAAATCACAAACTAATGTTGAAACTATGTGATAACATGATAGATATTCTGAGTGGCATTTTTGTTGGGGGGATGTTTTGTTTTTACATATTAGGACAAGCTGTGTCAACATTTACATAAAGTTAAGTGGAAAGATTGAACATGTAAGTAGCTACTCATTACAACTATGTAAAAATACAGAGATTATTACAAAAGCTATCTGGATACACAGAAATGGAGCATTTACTGTTAATCAGGGTTTTATTTAAGTTCCTAATTTTCAAAGTCAAATGAGGATTTGAAATGCGTATTTTAAAGGTCAAGAATATAGCTCAGCAGTACAGTGCCAGCCTGGCAAACACAAGGTCATGAGTTTGATTTCTCATACCAAAAAACAGCAAAGCATATTTTACTACGCTGTTTACATATTTTATTAGTTTACATAATATAATTAGCACAAGATTCTTACTTTAAGTATTCTAGGGCAAAGCTATGTGTAAATGCAATTAAAAAAACCTAAGTTTTGCCAATTCAATGACCACTGAAATTTACATCAAGATATCATTTAGCATAGTACTGTCCACCTGTAACCCAGCACTTGGGAGAATGAAGCAGGAGGATGGTGAGCTCACAGGCAGTTTAGGCCAGGGAGTTCAAGGCCAGCTTGGACTACATAGAAACCTCATCTTAAAGAAAAAAGCAAAAAGGTTATTTAACATCAATAGCGTATTTCCAGTCCCTCTAGGAATGTACCATGTTTTAACTGAAGGCATCTACTCGTAGAATAATAAAATGCCATGCAAAAACTCAAGAAACCTAGATACCGTCCTCAGATTCTACTTCTCACTTATAACTTCATCTTTCACTGTCTTTTCCTCCCAAAACATGTAAATCAGCTAAATCACTGTATACCAAACATTCAAGTACTTATACATCAAGTATTTGTCATTTTCCCTCTTTTCTCACAGTATTGAGAAAAAACTCCCTTTCTCCATTCTTAAGGTTCTCTTTGGTTTTTTTTCTTTGGTGCCAGGAATTGAATTCAGGACCTCGAACTTGCCAGGCAGGCGCTTGTGCCACTGAGCCAGACCCCCAGCCCAGGTTCTTTTCATTTATACTAATTAACTTTAACTGATTTTCCTAAATTTCCCTTACTCTTTTCTTCTTAATCCTAAATCCTACCCTACCTCACTCCCCAGAGCAATGAAGTGCAACTGTGGCAGCAACGTACCGGCAAACAGTCTCAGGAGACGCTGCCAGTACCGCCTCCCATTCCCTGCAAACTACCCGTCCTAACATGCACTCAAACAATTATCATATACCAAAGACAAAGCATTCTTATAAAGCATTCTCTTCTACGTCCTTTTACTCTGGGGCTTATCCTAAAACTTTCTACCTTACACAATGGGAAACAGCACCATCGTGCTTGTGCGTACAGCGTTGTGGCAGTGGTACTACAGGCTACCACCTGTCAGGTGGTAAAACAGGTGTTATTAAATCCAGTTCATACATGATTTACACCGAAGCTTCAACGCTGTATACTAGGCTTCTGAAATTTACTTCTAAGATATTCCTTTCCCTAACCCTAACTGTAGTAACTATATTTTGTGTTCTGAGATGCAAACAGCCTCCAAATACAGTAGTGGTCTTCTCATAAACTTTAAAAAACTGTCAATTTATTGAGGGATTAACTGAACTAAAATGGTAACTCTGGCAGTCAAAACAACACAATAGCAGCACTGACAAAAAAGTTCTGAAACATTCTTTTTTCCTTCATAGAGCAACTAGGGAAGCCTGTGAACCTCCTCCATGCAAAGTATTTTTAAAGCTAGGAGTGTGATGGTACATGCTGTAATCCCAGCTACTAGGGAATCTGAGGCAGGAAGATTCCAAGTTCGAGGTCAGACTGGGCAATTTAGTGAGTCCCTATCTCAAAGTAAAGTAAAGTGGTCTGGAGGACATGGTAGAAGATTTGCCTAGCATTTACAAGGCCCTGGCTCAAAGCCCAGTATCAATAAACAGACAACTGATTAAGCACATAAAATACGTAATGTAACAAAAGAAAACTCTACCAGAATTATCAGATATAAAGAACCATTTTCTGCTATAGTAACATACATACTTCTTTATTAATCCTTTAAATAACACTATCTACTAAGCAATTTAATAACTAAACTTGTAAGCAATGATAAATGTTAACTTGACACATTTTTAACATATTATGAAAATACTTGCAATTTCTAATGGAAGCACTCTCTGGTACTACTAATGCTACTGCTGCCTACATGAGTATGTATAAATAAAGATGTAACCTTTCCCCATCCAAGTTCACATACTCCCAGGTTTAACCCTCTTAAACACAAATGATTATTTTCACTGTTTTTGTGTTTTAATGTTAACTAGCAATAATGATTTATTTTTATGCATATAATGCCATGTGATTCCCAAGCAAAGCAAACACTGCAAGAATTTTTATTAACCCCCCCAGTACCATGGATTGAACCCAAAGCCTTTCATCCATTTTTTAATTTTTCATTATGAAAGAGGCTCTCAGTAAGTCAAAACTGTCCAGTCTGAACTTCAGTTTTCAACCCTCTTGCTTCAGGGTCTCATACTCCTGGGATTACAAGCATGCACCACCATGTCCAGCTTTCAGTTCCATTTTGCAAGTGTAAAAATAACACCACAAGCCAGGAGAAAGGTGGCATATAGAGGGAGCATTTGTAGGACACTCACTCTACAGACACCTAATAGTACCTCATCTTCACAATAACTGTGTATCTCTAATAAATTAAGATTCAGGTAAGTGACTTAGCCAAAGTGATGGGGCCAGTTAGCAAAGCTAGAGTCCTTTTAAATCCTAGTCCTAAACTCTTTCAACTATGGTATTCCCCAGTTTCTCAGGTATCATTCTAAATAAGCACATGCAATTCTAAATAAGGCACCAACTTGTTCATGTAGTAGAAGTGATTTGTTTTAAGGACATTTTCAAACTACTTTTTGTTTTGTTTTGTTTTGGTACAGTGAATCAAATTCAGGACCTTGCACTTGCCAGTCAGGCGCTGGTGCTGCTAAGCTATATCCTTAGCCCAAGGACATATTCAAGGAATGAAACAGTATTTTTGAGAAAATGAAAATGCAAAGCAAATTTCTAAAACGTAAATATAAAGCAGAACTACAACGGTAAAAGCAAAATTTTACACTGAAGTTTGGTTCTCTTCAGAGTTTTGTAAATTTAAAAGAAAAATATCTATTCTTCCTACTAAACAGGTTAGCAGAAGGGTGCTCCTAAGGTGAGCAGAAAGACAAATACACTGTTATTTACAATTATAAATTTTGGGGCTGGGGATTTAGCTCAGCAGCAAAGCGCCTGCTTGGCAAGAGCAAGGTCATGAGTTTGATTCCTAGTACCAGAAGAAAAACAAAACAAAAACAAAAAATAAAAATACAATTATAAATTTTAAATGCTAAATCCACTCCAACTCCTTCACTTCATCTATGAGAAAACATTAAATATTCATATAATAAATGTTAGAAATGACAAAATAGTGGTTCATGTAAATCACCAAAATAGTGAAAAACAAAGATTTGAACTGACCTGCGAAAATTTCACAAATAATGCTACTCTTTATGTTTTTAAACTCCATATATAACAGCAGCTGATCTTTAAAAACAGGTTACTATCTTCCTTAAGTATCTTTAAAATAGGGCCTGGGATACAGCTCAGCAGCACAGGACCTGCCTGGCAAGTGTGAGGTCATCAGTTCAATTCTGGTACCAAAAAAAAAAAAGGATCTTTAAAATAAGACAACATTTCTCATGCAGCCAATAAAGCCAACTGGCAGTTCTCCATATTATCTCTGTAATGTCATATTCTCATTAATGAAAGCCATTAAACTTCAAATTTTCTGATATTCATCCCTCCTTGAGAAACTGGAATAGTGCCTATCTCACAGTTGGTCCTTAAATGTCCACTGCCTCTGTTAGTGCATTAAGCTTATATATAAACTCATTTTAATTTTTCTGTTAATTACGTCAAAGGCAACATTTGCCTGTCATTTTAACACTGTAAAATGACCAAGCTAATAAACTTTCATTAGAGACAGCAAACATGAACACACGAAAGGTTTTCACAACTAGATCTCCCAAATTCAAGTCTTTATCATCTCTATCCAGCACTGTTTCAATAATTTCATTTAACCTGACAAAGTAAAGGCCAGATAAACTTACTATTTAAGTTGACTAGGTAGAAGGGGCAAGCTTCTGACATACACTAGCTTTACTTAATAACTACATTTGCACAGTTTTTCCTGAGTCTAGAGCCGATGAACAGCTTAAATATCGAGTGCCTTCATGTTGGCTAATGAAGCTTTGTTCTTCCCACACATGCCATGAAGACCTAAGAGGTATATACAGTCAGTTAGCCACAGCTGTGTCCTCCTTTCCCCTTTCACTCCTGCTGTTCTGTCACTTGAGTCCAGTCTTGCTGTGTTGCCCAGACTGGTCTTGAATTTGTCATTCTCCTGCCTTAGACGTCCAAGTAGCTAAAATTACAGGTGTTTGCCACCCTGGTGTAAGAGCGTTCTGGTGACAAATACACATACTTTCAGCTTATTGAGAGATTATTAGTTACAGAAACATGAAGTTTTTAAAAATTTAAGAAGTAGAACTATTGAGAATGCACATTACAGAAAACACTGCACTGAATGTTACTGGAGTGTGCGCTGAGTATTAATTCTAGTTTACATGCACCACTGTAATAGCACTTAACACACTTTCAGACATACAACATGGACTGTCCTCCCGTCAGAGTAAAGGGAGTAAATTCCTTACTCATCTTCCCATCCTAAAACTCTGAGAATATTTGGCACAGGATAGTAAGTTCCCACGGGTATGACTGATACCTCAAAGCAGGTCTCAGCAAACTAAAGGGTCAGGTAAGTAAACATTTTAGTTTTTGTAACCACACGGTCTCTGTTGCAACTACTAGGCCGGTGCAGCAGGAAATCAGCCATAGATAATAAGTAAACAGTGAACTACAATGTGTTCAAATAAAACTTTATTTATAAAAGTAGCAGAAAGGGCTGGACTATAGCTCAGTGATGCAGTGCCTGACTGGCAAGCGAGAGGTCCTGAGTTCGATGCCAGGTACCAAAATAACAGCAGAGGAAGTTATTAGCAAATGGACTACGAATTATCAAGTACTTAAACAGGAACTGTTATTCATTGCATAATTTAACTAAATTTCATGCCCAAAATGTGAACTCACATGTTCATGCTAAATTATGTATGATTATTTTGGTCTCAGGTGAAGAAAAGAAAGAATTGCAGACCTGTGGTATATGATTAAGGAAAATAATCTAATGGGAACAGAGTTAATAGAAAGGGCAATTCCACTGCTCTTGTCTACGACTGCTTAGATGTGGAACACGCCCCAACCCTGGCCAATGCGATGAAGGAGACATCAGCGGCGGGGGCCTCAGGAAAAGACAGTCCCTCTTACTCGGGGGCCTCAGGAAAAGACAGTCCCTCTTACTCTTTTGGCTACTGCCGTGTCTGTTTTGGGGTTTTTTTGGTTTTTTTTTTTTTTTTTTTTTGGTTTTTT